ATCTATCTATCTATCTATCTATCTATCTATCTATCTATCTATCTATCACCAATATCCCTGAGAATGAACAAAATCTCACAAAGAATGGTTTGGATTCTGGATTCCCTCTGATATCCCTCTGAAAACAGAATGCAATATGAAAGGGGGCTAAAATAAACTTATTATCTGAGGAGTTACCCAAATGTAGATTATGTGGAACTTATGTAGAACTGTGATATACAAACTTCAAAAGTAGCAAAAAGGTGCTTGATTATGAACATTTTAAGGAAAAACATTTTAAATTGATTATTTGATTGTCTTTTTGTTACAGCCACGGTCAGGTAGAGTTTATCGTAAGCAAGTATACATGTCTAAACTAGCTATTCTACATTTCATGATTGACACTTTTTCCCATCAAGAAATGTGGATTGATTCCGGATGACTTTTGAAAAAGAAAATATAAACACAAAACTGCTGCGCTACGAAGGTCATCTGGAAAAGCAAGGATGAAAAAAGTTCAATAAAAAAAATCCAGAAAACAGTCTGCTTCTAATTATACCTCAAACTGGTGACTTAACTTTTCATTTTGGCAGGTTTCCCCACTGCAGCTCCTGCCCGGGACTGCGTCTGAGAGTCGAGACTAATCAAAGGCACTTGTATGTTGAAAACTGTGGAACTCTGAGGGGACTGAGCCAGTTCAGGCCAGCCTGCTGCTCTTTCTCTCCTTTTCTCTTTTCCGTTTTCCCCTCACACTCCCTTTCCTGACCTGTCGGTTTAAGGAGCGAAAAGATTGGGAAATTCCTTCGAGCTACTTTACTTCAAGTTTCTGGTGGATTTAAACATGCACTCTGAGGTTTTGGTCCAATCCATGTTAGTGCCGTTGTCTCTGATTCTGCTCTCTGCTGTGGAGGACTCTTTGTTACAGTCGGTGAGGTGAGTTTCCTTACATTTTTTCTTGTTTATTTTGGGTTAAGCCGGAGATTGAGAAGTGAGAAGGAGGTGCAAACCTTTGCTGACTTACATTCTTTGGAGAGTACAATGCAGCAAAAGGAAGACTACAGTATAGATAGTTCACACTTCTAATGTACTGGGCAGATTCTTTATGCTGATCCTTCTACCAGCTGTTTGACAGAACCTCCCAGTTCATATGGTAAAATTCTCAAGTTATATTCTGTGTAAATGTATATAATTGAATGTGATTTGAAATGATTTTCTAGCTTTGTTTGTCCAGCAATGGGGTTTTCTGAAACCAAACTAAACATTAGTGACAGGTTTACTCAGCTGGCCTTGAATGAGAGTCAGTCTCAGGTTTCTGGATGTGAGCCCCAAACTGGGAGTGAATTTTCCCTATGCGATGGTATGATGGTTCAGAGGCTTGAGCTGGATTCAACGTAAGCTACTGAGGCCATTCAATATGGAGTTCACATTATTTTTATTTTCAAATGTGACATATGTGTAATAGTTTTCAACAGATTTTGATACAATGGTCCACATTTTGTCCACAACAGTTGAAATAGCCTCAAATTCTTTCACCCATAACATGATCAAAACGTGTAGAAAATAGATAATGCACATGCACATTTTCTCTCATGCATTTGCAATCCAAACATTTGTGAAATATAAAGATTGCATTTTGTCTGGACATTTGTTAAATTGTGGCAAATAGCCATTTAGATTTAACTCATATTATAGCAATGTCTCTGGAGTGGACCTTTTGCATTGTTGACGGTCACTATAATTGTCCTCGGTCATTTTTAATGGTATGGTAATGCAGGAGGGGCACAGTGGGAATATGGGCACTGATTTGGAGAGATCACAACTATCAGGACTGATGTGCCTGAATGACAGGGGATATCCTACAGATATAGACTGCCCAACATCTGTAATGTAACAGCTGATGTTTTTGGGGGATCAGCTTAGACCAGCTTCTGATCCAAAAAAATTACAAATCATGCAAGGAAATCATTTAAATGTAAGTTCCATGTAGTTAATGGTAATCTTGATTATAGGATCAATTAAAAATTCACTGCAGTACTTCAAGGAGGAGTGAGGTCAAACCTTAAAGTCCATTCCTCGAGCCTCTTTTGGCAGTTATAACCTCCTCATGACACATGGGGCTTCAGGAACATTTGAGCCAGTGATTGTTTGAAAAGTATGTACTTTTGCTGAGCTAAGCAGCCTGCCAGTAAGTGGGCTGGGTGCAGAAAAAGAATGTTAGGTAGAATCCAAATTAAATAAATCGCACTCCGAATTCCTAAAGAAGGCGTTACAGAAACAGCTGCAAGGTTTTCTCATTCAAAAGTGAAATTGTTCAAGCACTATTTGATTTATTTCAATGCATAATATACATATAAACTTAACATTGGCTTTTTTTTGTTTAGGTTCAAACATACTGATCATATTCTAAATGATTCATACTCTTGACAGTTGTCTTCAAAATGAAATGTTCTAGAAGAGGAAAGGGACATCACATGTTTAGATCATTCCACATATCAGAGCTAAAATGACTGTAATAACATGTGGATTTTATTTCTGATCCAGAAGTGCACTCAGCCTCTAAGCTCTGGAGTTTTCCAAAGCAGCAGGAAAGAAAGCTGACCCTTTACAATTTCTCAGCCAGGTGGGTCTTGTGTGCAAGCTGTCCACAGAGTCTTCCCTGCGCCGATGCCGGACACCCGACGGCAAAATATGCAGCGGCAAGGGCAAATGTGACTGTGGCGTCTGCGTGTGTGAGGCCAAGGAGCCCGGGAAGTTCTACGGCCCCCGCTGCGAGTGCCACGACTGGGTCTGTGCAACGTACAACGGCCAAGTTTGCAATGGTGCGTTCACTGATCACTGTTTCCATACTTTGCATGATTGTGTAGTCCGGCAAACAGCTAAGATCCTATCTTTTATTTTTTTACATTCGTTGTTTGCCCTATTTTCATCTCTGGTTCTAAACATTTTTTTTAGTTTCATAGGGCCTCTGCAGATGGTTCCACATGTGTTGCCACTTGGCTGTGGTTTTTAGAGATGGGTCAGTAAGTGATGCAGCAGATCTGTTCACCGTTGGCTTACATCAGAGCAGCTTGGCAAATGGACTCTCCAGCTGATGTTTAGTGCGCCGCGAGAATAGAAGCCCCCTTTTCATCTCTTTGGACAGTTTGCCCCTCTGTGGGCAGGAATACACGTGTATTTAAAACTTTTAGTGCTTTTTAGAGTGGTTTTTTAAGCCACCTGAGTTTCTTCCCTTCCTGCGGAGTCAGAGGGGTGTTGCATTGTGTCTTTGACAGCTTACATTGCATTGGCAGGACTTCAAAGGTTTTCGTTGGTAATGTGAAGATGATTGGTTGTCGAGCATTGCCAAGACCTCAGCTTTTGTTGGGAGGCCCAAGCTTTGAACTTTTTTCACAAGTTTTTGGGAGGGACTCTATAAAGTGCAACCATATTCAAGGGCAAGTTGAATAATGTCCGGTTAGTCTGTATTGTTACTTTACATGGCATATTTATCCAGTTGGATGACAGATAAGCTCATTTAACACAGAAATAACACAATTATATGGATTTTACACCAAACAGTTCACATGTGACAGCTCTTTATGAATTGTTCTTTCTCACATACACAGTTTTAAAATAAATCAAGAAAAATAGCGGATGTGCAATTTTCTCTGAATTTCTAATTGCTCTCAAATCTTTTAAGGTAAAGGCATTAAAACAATATAAGGCAAGTGGAATCAATTAAAAGTTTTTCTGACAACCCATCATAGATTTGACCATTTATTCTCATCACAGAACGGTGATGCTTACAGTGTAATACTTCCAATGAATACAAGTTGAAGTGTTGTATATACTTTAAATTGACACTTCATGTTCAAGTCCCCCTTGACTTTTTCTCAGTTTGTCCTTCTATTAACAGATCTAATGTCAGAATGTACTGATCGCATTTACATCTAGCTGTTTCCTAAGGCAAGGGCAGTGATTTTCTTACTTTACCTTTTATAATAAATTGATTCCGGTTGATTAAAAATAAATACAGCTGACATGAACACTGCTAATGCTTAATCTGACAGAGATGGTTAAACACAGCCTTCGTCCATTGCAGAACAAGGGACAGATTTGCTACCCGTCATATTCAACTGACACTTAAAATCACAGCTCTGATGGAAAACAAAAGATGTATCCGCTTGTAATATGCCTGTTGCATTGTTTTCTCTCTATTTGTGGCTCTGCCTTATGTTCCGTCGTTAGATCTTAGGCAGGAGGGACAAGGAGGGAAAATAAATAAATGATAAGCTAGAAAGGATGATTTAGAAAGAAGAAGGGTCTGTGTTTATTTGGTGTTGGAAACTAATATGCAGAGTGTCAGCCACTTGTCTGTATTCTGCTTTTAAAAGGTTGCTTCTTTGATGACCTGTTCATTTTAGTTCAGTTGAGTTGACTTTAGTTGATTTTTTACCTTTAATTTTTTGGCACATTTGTCAGCTTTGAATCAAAATTTGTCTTCTGTTTTATTATCAACGTAATAGATTTTCCTTAAGGATACAAACTAAATAATACTAAAATTCTCGTACACCTCCATTGAATAGCCAGATGGAAAAGAAGAAATTGGTGACAAATTGGTAACCATAATTTAGCATTTTATTTGCTGATGAATGTTGGACACTTATGTGTATGCCAGCAGAAATCTCTTTTTGTTTTTAATAAGCTCCAGTGAGACTCCATCACGGTGTCTACAATTATCCCATGTTCGGTCTTGTGCCCTCTTCAGACGTGTGAAGCTAAAGTGCAAAACAAAAAAAACACGTTGATTGGCTCTTTAAAAAATACGGTTGTTGCCGGTCTGCAGTGAGCTGCATTGTTTAAGATAATGAAGTTAATGAACTTGTAGTTGACACACAGCTTAACCGAACGTAAAAGAGGGATGGTTGCAACCTGTTACCAAGGATAACTGTTCATTTGTCAGCGAAGACAGCTTGGGAGAGGCTGAAAAGAACTCTATTTGATGATGCAGGGAAAAGGCCTAATCTCTCTGTGTCCTCTGTTGTGCCTGGGCTTTGAGTGTCGGGGTTTAATGGAGATATGTGAGCATCCCAAACAAATATAATGGATATATGTATGTATGTGTGGGAGTGTGTGCGATTGTGTCTGTGAGTACGCATGTGAGGACCACGGTGATTTATTTGGGTAGACAAGTTGGCTGCTGTGAGGAGCTCATTATGGTTCAGCAGTCTGGAGCGAGGCCCTGTTTCATCCTGATAATGGGGTTTCACTCACTGCTACATTGCCTGCCAGTGGAACCTAGATGCATCAGAGCAGAGATGGGTTTTCACACCCACGCACACACACACACACACACACACACGCACACACACACACACGGAATATAGGATAGGGCTTTTTATTTACATTGCATGAATACAACTAATCTGCACATATGTATCAAGGATAACACACACACAGCCACATATGTACACTGTCATATCGCCATGTGAATAACAGGGCCAAGCAATTACGTTTAAAGTAAATTGAAAAAGAGGCTTCCCCACAACCCCCCAATGCACACATATAAACCACCACCCACCTCAATGGGCTACGCATACCGAACACACACCATTGGTGTCCTGTCAGAGATCAGCAGCCAATTTCTTTCCATTTGGCACCTTTATCTCTACCTTTCACAGCTCCTTCTGACAAGATCCAAAAACATATTTTTGCCCTTTCAAGATGAAGCATGTGTTTTTCTAAGCAAAAAACAGATGCTCCTTTTTTTGTACATCTGATTCAGCAGAAGTTCATTGATTTCCTGTTAATCAGATGAACTCATCAACCGGTGTATTCACTCTGAAGATAAGGTGAATTTAGTCATGATAGATATGTTTTTTAGTTCTACAGAAGTCATGTCTTTTCCATTTCTTTTTAGTTTTTGCAAAAATGGTAGAAGCGAGGTCTTAGTGTTCTTCCTGTGGCACATTGTGTCAACACAGATCACTTTTTCCATGCCCTGAATTATTTGTTGGAAACTGCTCCTTGTCTCCTTTTTGTGTGGTTTATCTGTTAACATCATCACGAAGAGTGAGTTAGAATCTTTCCTTTCCCTAAACCAAGCACTTAAGTTGACTCATTTGAGAAAATTCATCATGAAAATGTACACAATCAGTGTCACTAAATGTAAACATTTAGTTGTAAGTATTTTAATTGTCATCTGTTTGTTTTTTTCGAGAATAGATATCGTGCCATTCCTAAAGGGAGGTACCATTGGTATATAGTGTCATTAAAATTGTTTGGACTCATTTCAGAATTGTATTCCAACAAAGTAGTCATTTGAATTGATTCAAGACAGCGAAAGCCGGGGCGCTAGTGAGCAAGATGGAGTAAAGGCGGATATTTTCAGAGCTCCTGCAGGCTTATTAACATTTTCGCTTTAAAAACCACAACTGCTCACTAATTGTGACCCAAATCGGATTAACAGAGGTAATGGACTTTGAAGAATTCGGTTCCAGTAGACTTTACTTGATAAATGGCGGATAAACTTCGCAAATTCAAATACGACGGTAACACGGCAAAGCTAATGGCTAATCCCAGATCCACGAGGCAGCGCACTCCAGAAGAAGACCCACAACCCAAGAGCCCTGGTATGTGTGAAGAGTTGAAAGCCGATATCCTAACCTCTATACGAGGGGAAATCTCCCAAATTATGAGGGAGGAAATGAGGGGTGCGCTGTCTGAAGAGTTCGCCGCTCTCAGAGCCGATATCAACGCAGTGAGAGCCGAAATAGCCAGCAATGCCACCGCCACACGCGCAGAAATCACCTCAGTAAAAACAGACATTGAAGATATGAAAAGTGGACTGTCTACTTGGTCTGATGAGGTAAACACGCTGCAGACTACCGTTACTGAACTTCAGAGCGAGCTGGTTAAGATACGGGACAAGTGCGAGGATATGGAGGGGAGGATGAGACGCGGGAACATCCGTATAGTTGGCGTTGAGGAGCAGCCGAACTCCACCAACCCTGCAGAGGTTTCTAAAATGATTAGAGAGGCGCTCCAGATGGACCGGGATGTGAAAGTCGATCGCTCACACCGAACAGCCGCTCTGACGAAACCGGGAGACGGAGAGAGACCTCGTGTGATCATAGCCAAGCTGCACTATGATGGAGATGCCGCTGACATCCTGAGAAGAGCCAGGGAAAAAGGCCCGCTGACCTACAAGGGGAAAAGGATCGCGATCTTCCCGGATTACACCACCAGCGTGGCCAAGGCACGCGCAGCCTTCTCCGAGGCACGGAAAGCTTTACGGGGACGGAGCGATGTGCGTTTTGGATTACTTTACCCAGCAAGACTCAAAATCACATACAAAGAGGACAGTAAGGAGTTTCGGGATCCCGTGAAGGCCATGGACTACATCCGGAAAACCATCCTCACTGCAACAACTGGAACTGAAACGTAAGCGTAGCCACAAGTGCTAATACGGCACGATTCGGATCAGCTGATCCCAGATCTGAAATGCTGTCTTTGGTGCTTAAATGCCAACCGTAATTGCGTTCAATGTCACTTGTCTAAACTGATATGTTTGAAAGGTGCACACTTCTAACCTTGTTAAATTACTAAGTTATAATTAAGTTGTATTGATATTACTAGTAGATTCTATGCTGTGGTTAAAGTATCTCTCCTGCAGGAGCCTGAACTTCCACACTCTTATTTTCCCTTTTTCTTTGTTGTTTTTGCACACATCCAACTCTCATTTGGTTGTGTTTGTTGCCGCTCTCTATAGTGGCTAGGGACTTAAACCCACTACCTTGCATTATGTTATCTATGTTAATTTTTTATTGTGTTTTCTTCGTTTTGATCCTTCTGTTCCCCGAGGATCTTACTGCAACTAAAGAAACAGAGCATTTGAATATTAGTCTTGACTATATGGCACAGCAAAGTCTTACTATTTTATTGTATCGTCTTGGTGTTCATCGTTCATGTTACTTAAATGTTTGGTTCCACCCGTCAAATGGTCGCCTCTGCCTCCAGCACAATACTATCACATATACATTTTTAAATTAAATCATTTATGAGTACATTAACTGTAACAAGTTATAACGTGAGGGGTTTGCATAGTCCAATGAAAAGAAAAAAAGTATTGCTGCAACTCAGACAATCAAAATGTCAAGTAGCATTGCTGCAAGAAACACATCTATCAGATGTGGAACATACAAAATTAAGTAAGTCTTGGGCTGATAAAGTTTACTATTCGTCACATTGCTCTGGCAGGAAAAGAGGTGTGGCTATATTAATACATAGGCAAATTAATTTTACTGAAACGTTAGTACACAAGGACAAGGAGGGCAGATTTATTTTGGTAAATGGGATAATTGATGGAACAGCGGTTTCCTTTATAAATGTATATGCCCCTAATGAAGATGTTCCAGGGTTTATTAAGTCAGTTTTCAATATGATTGCAGAGTACAGCTCCGGTCTGTTGATTATGGGGGGGGATTTTAATTGTGTAATGTCAAACCTAGATAGGCAACCAGCCTCTCAGACCCCCATATCTAAGATGGGTAAAATGCTTAAAAATATGTCTGTGGAAACTGGATTAGTGGACGTATGGCGATCCAAATACCCTAAAGACAGAAATTTTACATTTTACTCAAACCGACATGCATCTTACTCACGAATAGATTACTTTTTTACTTCCAAGGCTGAGCTACACAGAATTGAGGATATTACAATATTGCCCATCACAATCTCTGACCACGCACCTGTTACTCTCCAGTGGAATATAGGACTGACCCCATCGTTTAAGCAATGGAGACTTAACACCTCCCTTCTTAATGACAAGGAATTCATTGATTTTGTTAAATCTGACTTCAAAAATTATTTGGACATAAACAACACCCCTGACACATCTCCTATCATGTTGTGGGACTGTGCAAAGGCCTATTTAAGAGGTAGCATCATCTCCTACACCACAGCAAAAAAAAGACAAAAAGCAGCCAAACAGAAATATTTAGAAGATAGAATTCGAGATCTGGATCTTCAACATAAAAAGACTAGAGCACCCAAAATTCTGGAAGATTTGAATACATCACGTAGAGAGCTCCAAGATTTATTATCAGAAAAGATAGAAGGTAACCTTCGTTTTGCTAAGCAGCAGTATTATGAAAATGGAAACAGAGCGAGTAGACTTCTGGCCTTCCGACTTAAAAAACAACAGTCCTCAAATGTGGTTCAAAAGCTGAAATCGGGCAATAAATTAATCTTAAAACCAAAGGATATTGCTGAAACATTTGCTGAATTTTACAAGGTTTTATACCGAGACACTGACACTTGCAGTGATGAGAATAAAATAGGTGACTACTTACAAAATATACAAATTTCTGAATTATCTGACACTGTAGCTAAACAATTAGATAAGCCAATTCAAGTTGAAGAAATTAAAAATGTCATCTTATCCCTTAAAAATAATAAGAGTCCTGGCCCCGATGGTTTCATAAATGAATTTTACAAATGTTTCATAGACATCGTTACTCCACTTTTATTGGAAGCATACTGCTTTTCTTTAGAAACTAAAACAATGGCGCCATCCTGGTCTGATGCCACAATAGTTGTATTACATAAAGAAGGTAAAGATCCCACTGACTGCGGGTCATATCGGCCATTATCCTTGCTGAATGGGGACGTACGTATTCTAACTGGTATTCTGGCAAGACGATTAAATGTCATAATAAATCAAATCATACATCCAGATCAAACCGGATTTATTGTCGGGAGGCACTATGGAAATAATCTGCGTCGTTTATTAAATATTATGTCTCACCAAAAAGAAAATAAAGCTATGACAGCTGTAATATCTTTAGATGCCCAAAAGGCTTTTGATCGCGTGTCATGGAAATATCTTATTCAAACATTAAAGAGGTTTAAATTTGGGCCCAAATTCATAGATTGGATACATACATTATATTCATCCCCACAAGCGGCTGTAAGAGTTAATGGTTTCAGGTCGGCAAGTTTCCAGTTGGAGCGCGGATGCAGGCAGGGCTGTCCTTTGTCACCTCTTTTGTTTGCAATTAGCATCGAGCCACTAGCCCAGCTTATCAGGGACAATGATGAAATTAAAGGGATTTTGATTGGCACAGAGGAACATAAAATATCTCTTTATGCAGATGATGTACTCCTGTATTTGTCTGATCCTACATCATCAATACCACGTCTGAGGGAAATGATTTCTGTTTATGGACATTTTTCTGGCTATAAAATAAATGTTGATAAGACAGAGGCAATGGATATCAATAGCAATATTCCAATGGGGGTTAAACAACAGAGCGGTTTTAGGTGGCCAAGGGAAGGCATTAAATACCTAGGCATCAATATTCCCCTCTCATTAAACGATTTGTATCACGTCAATTACACTAAAACACTGGATATAATTAAAAAAGACCTGGAGCGATGGTCGGCATTGCCTTTGTCCCTCCTCGGTCGCATTGAAACCATTCGCATGAATCTGCTACCCAGATTATTGTATTTGTTCCAAATGTTACCAGTTGGCATACCTAAGTCCACGTTCGTTGAATTGGATAAAATTATATCAAAATTCATATGGCAAAGCAAGCGCCCTCGCATAAAATATAAAACACTACAAAGAAGTAAGACGGAAGGGGGTCTCAAGCTTCCGGTTTTAAAATACTACTTCTGGGCAGCTCAGTTAAAGCCCTTAATTTCATGGATCCAACAGGATTCTCAAACAAGATGGCTCAGCATTGAGCAAGCAAAGTGCTCAGTACCATTAAAGGTATTACCATTTTTAGATATCCCAGTAAAGGAACTGCCATTGTGGACTAAAACCACACTTGACATTTGGAACAGAGTGCGAGTTTCTTTCAAGTTACCGAGAGTTTTATCAGTACTAACGAGCATTGGACATATTAAATCCTTCACACCCAATCTCTTGGACAAAAATTTTTCTAAATGGGCTGATCAGGGGCTTACATTTCTTCATCAGTTGATCGACAAAAATAATCTTATGTCGTTTGAAGAGTTATGTAGGAATTTTCATCTCCAAAAAAGTGATTTCTTTAGATATTTACAGCTGCGCTCTTTTTTGCTCGCTCACAAGGACTGGGAAAAAGTACTAAATCCAACACCATTAGAAAACCTTCTAATCCATTACCAGAAAGGGGGAGGAGATAAAAAATGTATTGCAAAATTATATAGTGTATTTCTGTCAATGAACCTTAACGAAACCACTCGGACAAAACAAAGATGGGAGGCAGAGACG